TAATCCTTGCATCACGCAATCAGCCGCATAACTAGAATCCTTGCATCATATAATCAGCCGCATAACTAGAATTTTTGCATCATATAATCAGCCGCATAACTAGAATCCTTGCATCATATAATCAGCCGCATAACTAGAATTTTTGCATCATATAATCAGCCATATAACTAGAATTGTTGCATTCATGTTGTGTAAATATACATTATGTGACATGTATATACAAATGTGTAAGGTATATTTGATTTTTCTAAAGTTATGGTTGTAAGAGTTGATTTCACTGTTACTTATTGTGATTGAATAATTCTTCTTGTAGCCACAATTGAGTCCACCTTTGCAACAGACTATGGAAGCTGCCACTATTGCAGGAAACTCACCTAGAATGGAGTTATGGAGTCAGCTTGCTACATCATCATCATCATCATCATCATCCACGTTGTCATCAACAACATCATCATTGAAAAGACCAAACAGCAATCAGGAACATGTTGGCAAAGGGAAAAAATCCAAGCGTCAACACAAAGATAAAAACGCAGGAGATTTGGAAAAAGTGGTGGATAGTACCAATGAGACTAGTGCTACAGAGAATACCACTTTACAAGAAGTGCAAGAAAGGGAGATCCATAATGAGATGCAAAAGTCTTTAGAGAATGCTGGGATTGATGCTACAACAGCATTTATACTGTCTAGAAGTGAAGGATCTCAGCCTAAGATGCAGATATGTAAAGAACTTGTAAATCATGCAATGGATTTATTTGCAGTCACTGTTAAACAGATTATTTTCTTTGCTAAAAGCATCCCAGGATTTTCACAGCTATCATGTGATGACCAGGCTGCTCTAATTCGAGCAGCCATAATGGAAACTATCATTATTCGATGCACAGAGAGGTTTGACCCAGACCAGAATTTGTTAATTAGTGACATTAATGAAGGAGAATACGGACTTAACTTGATTTTCCAGTTGGGATATAAAACGTTTACGGAACCATTTTTCCAGTTTATGAGAGAAATGAAACATTTGAACCTTGCTATGGAAGAGTATGCTCTTTTACAAGCTGCTATCATATTACAGTCAGGTAAGTATCGGTTGTAACTACGTAATTTGGTAACTTGAAGCGAGTCCTTTCGTACTTGGTAACTAAATACAATGATGCCCTTTATATACTTTATATAGTTACTAGAGCCTAACTTGGCAATAAAGTATTTTGGTAACTTGAACTTGGAGCTGGTCTCTTTGTACAAGGTAACTAAATATGATGGTAAAATGCCCTCTCCATAAAATGGACTTCACTGTTGCTAACTAAGATGCATTTATTATTGCAGATCGACCTGACTTGAAAGATGCTAATCTGGTTGAAAAAATTCAGTTTCCAATAATCCTTGCCCTACAGATGTGTACAAAGAAAAACCACCCAGAAGAGCCAGCCTTGTTTGCTAAGCTGATGTTGAAAATGGTGACTTTGCGCGACATAGATGCTGTTCATTCAAAAGATTTAATGGACATGAAACTACAAGAACAGGAATTCACTCCACTTGTACAAGAGCTATTTGGGCTTTCTGATTAATTAGGTGCCATGGAAATATTATGTTAACAAACTGTTGCAATGATGTAGCATCATAAACTGTGTATCAAATAAGTACTGGTTTAAATCACCTACTATGACTTATGAAATATATGCTATAAGACATTCATAGATCACTTTTGTTTTGAATAATTTGATTGATGGATGGTGATTAGATCTCAATTTTAAAGCAGCTTAATTTTTAAAGATATTGAGAATTTATGAAGACATAAAATGTCATATATATATATATATATATATATACATGTATATATAGCGTCATTCATATTTCAGAAGCTCTATGTATAATGTTGCTGCAATCGTGACATGTACTGTGCATAGACAATGTCTAAAATTTGGATGGACATTGTGAAAGGATTGCAGTCCCTTCTGTATGCAGTCAACACATGTATCAACAAGTTTTTACATGATTATTAATTAAAGTTAAATATCTGGATAACTGATATTGTGAATAGTTAATTGACTCCAATGAATGGTTATGTGCCTAATGATTGATTTATATTTTGACCTCGCACGTTCTTTCCTTCCATGATTTGATACAAGACGGACCAAAATGGTAAAAATGATAAAAATTACTCAATATCAAGCATTTCTGTCTCTTCGGAACCTGGTTTTTGTTGTATATGAATGGATTTCATTCAAACTTGGTACCAGCATCAGGCATTATAGGATGCACATTGTTTTGTTTCTCAGATCTTTCTTGGCCATTTTGTTTTAACAAAAGCTGTTCCAAGAGCCATATGTTTAACATGTCGCTATGAGTCCGCTATCAGTCAATATAGGACAATGGTTGTTGAACATTTGTATCTGTTTCCAGGGATAAGTTCCATGGTGATTCAACATGTTACATGTCAAAGTTTTAGCATAATTTAAACAATACTCAAGGTTGGTTTCTGCCATTAGAGGGCGCTTATCAATCCACACTATCGAGAAATGATGAGTTAGCTGATAAAATAGAGGATGATATCTGCCACTAGAGGGCACTATATCACTAAATGTTCAGCTACCCTATGATATACCAAGCTAAATTTCATGTCTCTACTAAAAAGTGAATAACAGTGACTATGTTTGTGCTGCTGTACTGTTTGTCGTGATCACTGCTTAATAAGTACGTTATGATTGGTGATTTCGACTGATGCACACTCTCACCATGAAAGTGAAAATCAATTTTTAAAGCCTTATTTTCTAGTTTTATAATGGAAGGCCATTTTTAAGATTAGACATGGTGTCACTAATTGAGCTAAGCCCGTCATTATTAGGTGTTCCTTGCAATGCCCATATATTAAACTGACTTAATGATTTGTTATTGGACTCAATGAATGGTTATTTAGCTCAAATGAATGGCCATGCGACTAATGACTTGTCACCCGATTAATGATTATGATGCTTCAGTGAATAAATATGTGAATCTGAATGAATCGTATTCAAACAATGAACGAGGACGCTGGTGGATGTAACGTCACGGTACGTACCCTTGGTGGACCTGTGAGTTTGTTCATTTCGTGATGATATTTAAATTTTCACTGAATATTTTTGTCATATTTGTCATAGCTTTGGCTTGTTCTTGTAAATTGTCAGCTTAATTGCTTTGATACCATGCACAATTGAAATTTCCATGGCAACAACCATACATGTAATCTATCATGGTTGTGATATGGGAAGAATCTTGCGAGATCACTAACCATGGCACATAGCTAATATCTCATTATCAACTTGTTTTACGAAAAACGCTGTATAACAAGCCATGCATGCACAGTCCCTGTTAGTTATCAAATTTAAGATATATAGTTTTGTTTATAGTAATATAGCTGGGATGTAAACATGTCAGGAATATGATTATGATGATTGTTTAACATTAAAATGATTGACATTTGTATCTGATCGTCAAACGAGTACTTGTCCACATTGAGAGATATTGCTCTGGAACAGCATTAATTAAAACAAAATCAGCCATTTTGAATACATGTATATATTTATGACATTTATGTCCAATGAATATATAAAATTTGAACATAATCAGTCAAAGCATGTCAGAGATATGGCTCTAGAAGCCCATTCATTAAAACAAAATGGCCACCAGTCAGCCATTTTGACTCCAATCTGAAAAATAAAATGATGTGCATCAGGAACCCGTAATGTGTAACGTATGTACCAAGTTTGAACGAAATCCATCCAAAAATATATCTATGACATGATGTAATCAGTCAAAGCAAGTCGGAGATATGGCACTAGAACCACATTCATTAAAACAAAATGGCCACCAGTCGGCCATTTTGAATCTTATCTGAAAAACAAAATGATGTGCATCAAGGTCCTATAATGTCCAATGTATATACCAAGTTTGAACAAAATTCATCTGTAAACAGCCGAGAAATGCTTAATTTTGATGATTTTCAGTACAAAAATGGCTGTTATTCGGCCATCTTGAATCAGATCGTGAAACAAATTGATATGCATATGTATAATGTGATGTATGTGTGAAGTTTGATTGTGATTGGTCCAGGCATTTCTAAGATACAGGTACGCATGCACGCACGCACGCATGGAGGTCAAAACATAAGTCCTTGCGTCTGAGCGGGGACTAAAAAAACAGTGTCGCTATTAAGATTTTGAGATCACTTGTTTGAGTCCCAGATATATTTTAACTTCTACAATTCATGACTTTTCATCCAGGTTTTTTACTTTGCAGGCATATTGTTGACATGTTCTACTTTGTTCCTACCTTTTTTGATTGTCCACAACATTTTTTAATTGAAATTTGCGACCTATTCACGAAACAAAATATTTCTAAACTTTTTTCCAACCCAACGATTTCTATTTTCCACTCAACGATTGTTTTCTCTCAACCCAACAATAGTTACTTTCCACCTATCTTTTACAGCTTGTCCAGGGAGTTTTACAACTTTCTACGTAGCATTTTGAAATTCTTGTCAATTTGTTATTACTCTTATCCCAACTACCATGACTTTCATGCTTGTAGTTAGGGAGTATGAGATATTGCACAATCCACAATTTATATAAACAAGCCCAAGGCAATGCATATTTGGAGTTATTCGTGCAATATCAAGTGGTATACCACAGTTCACCAGTGTTATTGTTATTATATAGGCATTATTTTTCGTATTTTTGGCGACAACACAACGTCCCTGCAAACATTGGTATTATATCATACATATTAGAACACTACATAACAGTGTCGGTTTGCAGATATAAACCTAATGTTGATCAGAGTTGAGTAAATTGCATGAGGGCGCTAAGCTGTAAATGTTGTATTTTCTATGTATGCAAAGAGTTTGCTTTCTGAGCCGCAGACGAACACAGTAATTTGATTGGGAACAGTTTCAGCAAATACAGCAATGGCCAATATGCCAAGCTCCTTAACACACTGCAGAATAAAACTGGAGTTTGCTATCCATGAAGTTTATAATTTGCATAACAATGTATGTGTTTGGTTTACAATTAGCATAAATACAATGGGTTTACAAAAATAAAAGAGTTGAACAATGTGTCACATGACCAAAAGTGGTATAGGTACTTCAACGTAACGACCAATCATGTTTTGACATATGAGACAACTTTATTGCACAGTACAACACAACTTATCACAATATATATATATATTATTTGTTGTTCGCTATACAAGTCACACTTTTTGGAAATCTAAAATAGTGAACACTTGACTGCTTGCTTGCAAAGGATTTATCAGGGCAAACAAAAATCATCGATAAAAGTATCCACATAACAGGTTTTTTTCTTCTTTGGCTTTGTTTCTGTTGGTGTATGTTTACCTGTAAAATAGATAATCAAAACAGGGTAAATACACCATTGTACTCTCTGATTATTAAAGATCACCCCTTCCCCCAAGGCAAAAGTGGAGTCGCGTATTTGTATCACTTTGTAGGAGGGTTGCTGGGAATACTAGTTGTTTCAATTAGTGGCACATCGTCTAGTTAATATCAAGTATAGAGATTTGCCAATTATTTTAAATATTGCTCATTTATCACATACTTTCCTTTGATGTAACTTTTCAGTGTTTGAAGATACAGTAGAAACATTTACATATGAGAATTGTATTTTGACTTTTGCAAATAGCATTGGATAATTGAGCATCTCTCAGGTCAGGTGCGTGGACGTTTTTTATTCAATCACATTTATCATGTTAAGAACTATGGGAGAATCTAATACAGAATATACAACAATATAACCTGTTAACATAAATACTATTCCTTAATCTCTGTAGCCGTAAATTTCTGTAGTCAAAAGGATGGATTGACCTCAGTGTAATTAGTGTACCATAACATTTATGTCACATGTTCGTTGTTGGCATATCACAATGAACCACAATTGAATCATTAACGAGATATTGTAAGATACTTGGAGTTGATTTATTGGGTTTTTTATTTCTTCTTCTGACGTTTGTCCTTGTTTTAGAGAACTGGTGAATTGTGACACGTGGAATGCAAGCTGAAAGATCCCCAAAACTGTATAGTATTTTACACTTGAATGTTTTGATCTTATACATAGGCAAATGCATTGACAAAACCAATGTGCATGATTACATGGTTTGTCGGCCAATCTCAAATGCACCCAGAAATAAGGTTGCAATCCAGCTATTGCATTTCTCATCAAAATAGCATGTTGTAGAGAACAACAATAGCATGACAGATTTTTCAGGTACCACTCAATCAAATAATCGGTAAGCAGTTGTACTAAATGTAGTCCTGGGTAATATTACTTTTTGACTTCAAATGCCTAAGTGTTAGTTACTGATACTTACATGCTGTATGTTTTACCAGACTAGGTAAATATGAGTTCCAAAACTGACACTGTGGAGCTTTTAGTGCTCGTCTGGTTTCCAAGCCAACCGACAAATCTTATACTGTAGATCTGGGACAGTAAATGGGGGCCATTCAGGAATATCTGGTGTTCTTTGACCTTCCATGTAAGTTGTGGGATTACTGTAATACAATAAAATAATTTACTAATCATTGTGTTAGTGGATGTAATACATTCCACCACGTATGACTACCGGTAGATACAGTTGACAATTTGGGCAAAAACACATAGTTTAAATAAAATATAGGAGATCAAGATGTTAATTAAAATATCAAAGACTCGACAATATTTATTATTTAAATAATGCAGTAACCCAATGTCTTATTTTGATTATTATATGCATATAATATTATTTTGTTGCAAATGAAAAGAAATAACGGTGTTGTTCGCTGTTGTTGTTATTATATATGTGTCTTTGTTAACAAAACAACTTATGGACTACGTTGTCACAGCAGATGAGTGCTGATCTGTGAGCGACATTTGTTATCACACATTGGCATGCTGCTCAGGAAAAATGTATGACGTGACAGTGCGACGGTCTGTAAAGGCAATGACCATTACTGTATCATTTCTATTATTCTCAGCAAATACTTATAATGTGATCACGTCACACCAATAGCATAGTCCTATTCTTTTCTTAAAATAATTGTTGATTCAAAGCTACACTCTGCCCGTTTTTCATCTCACAATTTGCACTAAAAACTTACGAGAAAATAATGTAAGAATAATACTTAAATCATTGTATACCCAGTTTTAATAAAGCTGGTCCAATAACTCAGGATATATAAGGATAAATAGAATTCCTCCGGTTTGTACACCATATCCATGTGTCTGTGAAAGTGCCATCCAAACACAAAGGGTATCTCTTCAGCGTGACTTGCGCCTAACCAACTTGTATTATAAATAGAGGTACTTGGATGATGAGAGAAATGATACATATATACAGTGTTGCCACGCTCAAAATACTGCTTTGCAAACAAATCTGCAGGACAAGTGAAACTTTCATCTCCAGACATCTGAGACAGTGATTGGAAATAATTGGTGTGTTCAGAGTCAGCAGTGTTCCAGTCCGTGTACATGAACTTAATACTCTCCAATATCAATGAGTTGTGGTTGTTGTAGATAATTTGTGGCGTGACATGGTCGAAAATTGTATGATTGATGACAGGATTAGTGATGTTAGAGAGGTGTGGAAACATAAAAAGCAATGACATTGTTCCTTCATCCGCATTTGATCCTATCAGAATGTCAGCCTGGTTGACAGGGTTCTTCTGCTCAAACAAATTTGTTGGAGTATCGGCTAAAAATACGCCATCTACGATAGGTGTAAATGCGATAGCATTTTTCGCTTCGCCTGTTTTATTGGTTACCTGCAACAACAAATGAAAATCTCAATAAACGAAGCGTAAGTTGGATGCTATTCTTGTTTATGAACTATATAATTACTACTAGTCTCCATTCAGGCATGGTCTGAATAGCAGATATTAATATAAACAGCTTCCGTCCGTTAATTTAACCTTTTTTGAGTGTGCAATAGATATCAGTGAAAGTTTATGTTGACGAAGAATAATAACGACTCGATAACTTTTTTTTTCAATCATCTCTCCTAAAATCCATTATCAACCAGAACTTTTTGACCCCGTCAATTGTCAGATTTCTGATAATGATCATATGTGCTGTATGTATTGCATTAGGACTGATTATAAACCAGTGAAATTGATACTTTGTGTCTAAAATGTCAGTTATTTGTTTATTTTTCAATACTGTAAAATGCATGATTTTTCAACAAAAAAAATGAATTCTAACCAATGCGCCTGCTGACTATATTTATACACAATGTACTAATGTGTGAGACGTATATCATACCAGAAGCTGTGCTTGTACTAGAGAATCTGCTGGCACTTGACGTAGACACTGAATCAGCTGACTGGTTGTTGTGTGGCTACATCCAACTAGCTCACCAAGCGCAAAAGATCTCTTTCTCGCCACTTCAGATGAAGGCACAATAGCCCATGGTGAGTGTCCAGAACCACTCTGAATAAGTGATGAATATATTTGTTTTCAGCTTTGAAATAACATGAATCGCAAATACATGACCTAAGGAAGGCTCACCTGGTGAGGTGAAATTCTATTTCAACTGTATACAGAATTTTAATTAATTCATTAATTTTAAATAATCCATTAATTACCAGATCACCGCATTAACTAGAGTGTAATAATTGTGTCATACATAACTATAACAATGGGAAGAGTTTCATGTATGGAACCTATGAGATGTGGCATAAACATGGGCAAGCGTAAGTACAAAAACACAACAAAGAGTTGAATGCGATTACACGACAGGATACAAGGTCCAAAAAAACCACAGGCATGCGTTTTTTGATTCAGTGTTTTGTTACAGTTTTGATTTAAAGTCAAACAACACGATGAGAGGCTACAGCAGAATGGGAATGTGGTTACAACCTACCTGCATTATGGCTCTTTTAAACAATCCTCGGCTGCCATGTGAAAGTAAATGAAGTCCAATACTGGCAGCTCCAGCTGACTCACCCATCACTGTGATCCTATCAATGTCGCCACCAAATGCTATATAACACAGAAAATCAATCATTGATAAAAAAAAAAAAGAATATGATGAAAAATATACATAGAAAAATCTATTACAAATGTTTGCATAAAGGTCTGTTCCAGAATAAATATATTCTATGTATTATTCCATCGTAACACTCATTTTACCCTCACAGACATGTGAAATAACTGTTTATGATAGTCTTACCTTCTATGTTCTCCCTGACCCATATGATAGCTTGACGCTGATCTAGTAAGCCATAGTTACCAGTGGCAACTTCATCACCTGTTGATTTGAACAGAAAAATATGCGATAGTTCCTTGCATGCCCATTTAACATACAAGATTGCACATGAAACATGGTGTAATACATTACGTCACATTACCTATATTATTATAGAATTGAATAAATTCCCACGAATTGTTAAAAATATTAAATTGCGTTTTAAACAGATTGATAATTTCTGAGTTTCTTTGATGTGCATCAAAAATGTTGTATGTTTTTGTACTTTTTTAATTGGTCGTGTATATTAATGTCTTAGATTTATATAGTTTTTGTAATGTTGTTTATTTTGTTTTTTCAGTGGGTGTGATCTTAGAACCCTACTGGAAATAAGTTACTCCCTGCAATTTTGTAGGTTATTCTAGGTGTAGACTTCAATATGGGATTCTTGGTGGTCTCTATCTGCTTTGTTTTGTCTTTCTCGTCGATGTTTTTCATATCGAATAAACTAAACTGAACATTAAATGCAATATCCTTTTGCATAGCATACAAAGAGGATATCTCATTAGTGACCTTACAATATCAGATTTATTGAACGAGTGTATAGTAATTATTTATTTCAGCTTTTTTGTACGCCTGGTTGTGAATGTGAACAATTGGTTGTTGTGAATAAGTTTGGAAGACGTTGACTAATGAATGAATTAACTAGCAATTAGTACATACTATTCTTTGATCACAGTATTCTATGCATGTCACATGAAATCGGGCATCTGCTGCTGGATTACTTCCCAGCAGATTTTGCCACCCACTAAATAATATAGCGACATAACTTGGGGTAACTGCATGACTCGTTGAACTGTATCAATGAAGCTATGTATGCACATACATACCTGTACTCAGAAAACCAAGTGGACCTAGCCTGTAGTTGATGGTTACTACTATGATGTTACCGAGTGCTGACATAACCGTCCCATCATGCTCTGGTGCAGATCCAGATGATATGTAAAATGCCCCTCCATGCATCCATATCACCACCGCTTTCTTAGAAGCCTGGTAATCACAAAGTATAGGAAATTACTAGGGTGATCCTATGCGGAATTTAGATGCCGAGTCTTAAAACAGTGTTTCCTGTTTAACCAGTAAGCATTTCTTAGTTAAAATTAACATTGAATTGCTTTACATACAACAAGAAGAGGGAATTTTCCAAAGTTTATTGGGACATTATTGGGGTTTTATATATTCGAGTCCAGACCAGTGATTAATAATTCCTAGATCCTAAATGCAATTATTTTCACAAATTAGTAGTAAAGCCACTCTCACCCCCATAAAGTACTTTTCCCATGATCCACTGAAAATATCAGGACTCTACAAGCCTTTGTATGGATAACATGACCTTACAGTTAATCTAATAACACAATCATTTTATTTTAAAAGAAGTCTTATTCCAAATGAGGAAATGTATTTAGTTATTTGAAGAGTCAACTGACTAAAGTCCCAATAACAGATTCTAATGAAATAAATATAGGAACGGACAAACACAATACTATGAACCACAATTAACATACAGAAACAATAGATGGCAACATATCAAAGAAATAACTATTTAAAACATTAACTTCAAAATGTTCAGAAACCATAGACACTTGGGACAACAATTGTGTCAGCATATGGTTGCATAAAGTGAGCACACTGGGAAAGACGGAAAACCTCCTGTATTTATTTTATTTTGACCTTGGTTAAAAAACAATGGGGCGCCCTCAACTGTCTAACTGGTGCATACATGGCAATAAGAAGGTATGGAGACAAAACTCTTCGTGAATAGACACCGTGTAAAAAGGTCAGGTCCGGTTCCATCGAAGCGAAAATAGTGAAAGAGTTAAATGTGTAATTATTGTAATCCATATCATCTTTAAATCCAGGAATATTATAAGTTACTTAAAAAAACTCATATGGAGACCAAACCAACAGTATGGTTCGGCCAATCCCTGGGAGTGTCAATGTTCAATAACTTTTTCAAGTCGGTTGAAGAAAGCGCAAATATGATTCATATGGATAATTTACAACTTGTATAATCAATATTGAAATGTGCAAACATACAAAAACAAATCTGTACTTTTTTGTACCAGTGATTTGGAGTTATCAGCATCTACTGTTAATGCAATTGGACTTTATGCTTGGACTACTCCCATTGTAACGTAAGTTTAGTAATGCGGGCATCATTATTAAAGTTGCATGGCTCAAGACAATCTGGTTGGGCAATTATGTTCTGCATTTACTTGTCTTCGCGATTCCTGTTTCACCACTTCGCCCTATTTGAGCATAGACACGCATGGTATCCATGTTTCTAGTATCACGTGACACACTTGCATGTTTGTCAATGTTTGCATCAGGGATACTAAAACCATTTGTATATCATTCATTCATCCTGCACCTAAAGCATCTCCTGTGTGCGATTGTCTTCTATCCAATTTTCGATTATTATTTGCTAGGTGTTCATAGGCCACTGCTATTCGTTGCCATGATACAACGTAGCACATTTCTGATTTAACTGCCAATATTCTTGTACATCCGTTCACTCAAAATTCCAAACGTGATAAGTGGGTCATTATGTCTGATTTATTTCCTCAGTTATTTGAACATTTGAACAGGCTGGAGTTAAGGGGTCGATTTTGTGTTGTACTTTGTTATAATTACAATTGTATTTGTATAAAAAGTCGTCACATGTTTACAACTGCTCTATTTCTTACATGTGTTCACAATGTCTTGGGGTGTAAAATGTCCGCGTGAAAATAAGTGACTATAACCTTGTGATTTCTGACTGAGATTAATAATACATACCACTGCTTCAGATGATTGTGGTACAAATATATTCAGATACAGACAGTTTTCGTCAGTCGCTTGAGACTCAAACACAGGCAGACTAAGTTGTGGGCACACTTCACGGAAATATGTTGCATCCCAGTCACCGACTGGGACCTTGGCCTTAGGTGGTTGAAACCTTAACTCTCCAATAGGTGGCTCAGCGTACGGTATCCCCATGTATACGTGCACTAGCCAATCACCTTCAAGGTCATCATGAGAAAACAATCTAGCTACACCAGTAAATTGTCCCTGCGGTGACTTCACGATAGGATCTGTATCTAACCATGTCCATTCTGACTCCTCTGTATCATCTTGACGGTAGCCACATCGCACAGTGCTTAACAGGCACAACAAAACAAACCCACTGGTAAACATGACTGGGTATATACTCATCAATGGCAATGGGATGAGTCTGTTAAATTATTAACATTACACGTTATCTTATCAATGTCTGTCTGATCATCAGTCAGTCAGGG